AAAAAAAATTCACTATAGCCATTTTGTAGAATTTATTTTTCTGAAATAATTGAATTTTTAAAATTATATTTTAATATCTTTTTCTAGTTTTGAAGAAATAAAATATGATTATAACTAGGCACACTGAAAGCATTCAGCTGGACGTACGAGCTGTCGCACAATGTTTCACATGGTTGATAACACTTTGTTAAATAATTAGCATTTTTCTAGATGCTAAAAAAAAGGATATTCAACAAAAAATGGCCATAGAAATTTTTTTTTTTTTGGAAATAAATAAAAATTATATTATTTTTGACTTTTTTTAATCAAAACATTAAATTAAAATATGGAATAATTTTAGTTTTTATCTCTAAGAGACTGAATAACAAAATCAGAATTTTTATATCTATTATTTCATAAATATTGCAATGGGTAAATCATCACTGGAAACCATAAATATATATTATTATCATAGAGAGGGTACGCTTTATATGTTAATTGTAACTTGTTCTWACATTCAACTTGTAAAATAATCATATGTGATATAAATGTGTAGATTCATAAGTGTTAGATCAGAGAGAACAAATAGCACAATGAAAATATTTGACACTCTAAACCAAGGGGTAATAGTTTCATGGGAAACTAGGATCATTAGAAAAATGATGAGGCTGGAACTTTTTATTATTGTTCACAAGTATACTYGACACAGAACCATAAAGTTCAGTACTAAAGCAAAATATTAATAGCAGTCCATTGATTTCAGATCTATAAGTATGCCTATAGTCTCCACATAATTTGTCGATAAACTTAATTCTACTCTACTTTTAGTCACATTAAGTAGGACCTTAGTGATGGTCTAGCATCATTATTTCGAATTTTGGATAATTTAATACTGAAGATTCTAAAGTATTACTTACTAGAATAATGRAAAAACTACTTTATTTAAAAATAAATTTTAGGTTAAGTAAATTAAACCACAGACACACAATGATAGTAAAACGCTAGTTACTATCCAGATATCATGAGTGATATATCGTGAATACGTTGATAGTTACTATCACWTTAACTACTGATACACTACGGAAACTATATACCTAATTTTTCTATCATTGTGTGATAATAGCTTTAAAATTTATACAATCTTAAGGGGATTGGAAGCGTTGATTTTTTATCTTGGTCTAACACACGTGGTACATACAATACGCCTGACAAAAATTTAGGTACTTCTAGTTGTTTGATTTAAAATATATAAAGATGTGTTAATAGATATACAAGTTTACTTTGCATTGGTCAAAGTACTTTTTTGATTGTTGCAATATTTTGATAAGAATAAATACTTAAAATTGTATAAATTTGTCAATTTTTTTTTAAAATATGTTTCGACCGATGCAAAGTTAACTTGTATACCAATCCAAAAATCTTTACATATCTTAAATCGAGCAACTAGAAGTACTTTAATTTTTATCAGGCGTTTGTATGTTCCACGTGTGTTAGACAAAGCAGAAAATCACAGCTTCCAATCCCCTTAACTGCAACATATCTTAGATKGTTTAGTATAAAAATGTAATTACCAACTTCGTTATCAATTTTAGGCCTCTTAGCTGCTTTACCGCCCTTTGAATTAGAATTGGCTGCTATTTTACGTTTTTTTTCATCAACCTATAAAAAATAATATAGTAAAAATAATACATCTTTAAAAATTTTTGTGGATTCTACATACACTATTTTTTTCTTCAAGTTCTTCTTCTTCTTCCTCCTCAAATTCTTCATCAATTTCATCATCATCCTCTTCATCAGCCATTCCTTCACCAGCTACTCCAAGTAAATTTTTTTTTATTTTTAATAACCATTAAATTATAATATTTAAATTATTTAAATCTTAAAAATTTAGCTCAGAAATGAAAAAAGGTTCATCAGATTTTTAATCAGACGCAAATTACCCAAAAATAATTCATCATCGTTAAATAAATGAATAAAAATAATCATTGCTTATTAATACTTACTACCAACTGAGTGATTTCCCAATAGATGGATTGGACCATTGCCTTTTACAAGTTTAAATGTAACTGGGGGGTCTGGGAATAAAAGATCAAGTACACATTGACTGTGACCGGTACCTCCTTTCAATACAACAACAGGAAACTTAATATCAGACTTGTAACCCATTGCTTCCACTTCGATTACATTTACTTCATCATCAGGTACTTCAGGTCCAAGAACAGCCTACAAAAATTAAATAAAGATAAGTTGGAGAAATTATAACGAAAAAAAAATTAATATTAACCTGTTTGACAAGCAAAGTATGTTCACCCCGGAAAACATGAGAACTGTCATTGGCATCTGGTTTTACATCAGGATCCCACACTTCGGTAGCCTTAGTCTTATCCAAAGTAACTCCTATAAATTGTTTGGACAGTAATAAATTATTATTGTTACACAAAAARAACATTTTAAAGCCATCCCTTAATATACAATATAATTCTCAAACATTGATTAAATTATTGGTGAATAAAATTAGCACTGCACCATACCTCGGGCCAAACAAATTATCGTTGTTACTTGTGGTAGCAGCCATGTAGCGAGGCCAAAATAAAAAACCGAGAAATCGGGTGCGCGAGATAGGAGACGACTTCGGAGGTGGTTCTTTCGCCTTGTAACGGTCATGGGTCATGCTCTCTTATATAAGCACAACGTAATTTGACGAGAGAACGTACAAGTGAAAAYCGAAGTGCRCRCCGTTAGGCATATAGACGAAAGAGATGTATGAATCTAGCAGGCATGCGTCAAAACATAGAAAAGTTTAATTGACGACACAAGTCACATCCATCGGGAAGAAACGGAAATAGATTTTAAGTCACGCACGAGGTGAAAAATAAAATATTAAGATATCGCTGAACGGTTTTCGATTGAAAACGCAGACAATGAGAACAATGATGAACAATTTATTCGCCGGGAAAATATTTTCATACACAAAGAGTGGGTTACCCGGACCATGTGACTTTTTAGGCCGTTTGCTGGGAGGCCACTTTGAGGGATAAAAAATCGCGCGTTGTTGACGATTMTAAAAATTTATGAAAACGTGTTAACCACGCGAAACGCATACAACCTTCATCGGTGTAGACGTGAGGAAGTAACGCGAAAAAAATATGAAACGTGCGAAGTGCGCGACCATATTTATAACATTGGCACACGTCGTGCAAAAAGTTATCACGCAGTCATCATACTCACCCCAAAAGTAGTCTTCAGTCATTCTGACGTTTCGAAAGTTTATTGACGTGAAAATGTATTAAGAGTGACTGTCGATGCGTTTATTGAAAAAACGSGTTGTTGGTAAAAAGAGTTCTTGTAACACTGAAAATTGCATACAATGTATACAGTACGACAACTGCAACAGTAATGGCCGACAGCAGTTTTCGACGTCGTCGCCTTCGTCGTTGCCGGTAAACAAAATCCGTTGTCTGCCTATTCCACCCGACCATCCGTGGCGCTACCTACGGACGCCATGCCGGGTCAGTGCTGCCGTATGTAAGGGAGAAAAAACAGTTCAGACTGAACGTATGGTATGCCCGTCGTATTCACCTTATCTGTTCGTTTCTCATTGGATGCTATAATTGCCGGGTTATCTGTATAGAGTTCGGATTTTGCTTTTTAWTTTTATGAGCGACTGAGAAACTTTAAAACAAAATAAATAATAATAACCATTAACCAGCCAACCAGGAACAACAACATTTTAACAGTTCATAACTTTAACAGTTGAATACCACAACATCCAATTATTTACCATGTTTTAATTTTTTTTATGACAACGCCGTCATCATTCCTACAGATGTTTATCCGGGCGATATTTTGGCTGTTTTGTTTCAATATTTGCACAGGCAGCCTATTTTATTTTAGTTGAACCCATTATATCAAACCTTGCGTAACACGTCGACTCTTTACAGACTCAGATTTTCAATTACTCATCTACAGAACGTCCAGCTTACGTACAATAAACGCGAAAAAAATGTTTCAAATGTCTATAGTCAAATTATTTTTGGTGATTCTTGTAGCTGCATCGCTGTGTGCCTTTTGGTATCTGGACATAGTGTTTTTTCACTGGGACCGAGTATTACCCCAACCCGAAGAAATGGTTGTTGATACAGTGACAGAATTTCCAAAAAATGTTACGACTTTCAATGAGCCTAAAGAATTTGTACCTACAAACGAATGGCAAATAATCAATGAAGGTATACAATTCAATTTTGTAATATTAAGTAACTATAGGTGAACTATAAATTTGTTCTAATTCAATATTTTAATATTCCTTAAATATAATTGGTAAATAAAGGGTTAGATTAGAATTTCTCTTTTTATCATTCTCAATACCCTAACAAATATATTCTGCATTTTATATTCATATCAAAATGAATTTTAACATTAAAAACCATTCTATTTTGGCTATTTGAATTATATTATCTCATATACATTTATTTTTCTTTGCTCCTGAATTAAGGAAACCATAGTTAAATATTATTTCAGGTACATTATCATTGTTTTTAATTTGAGCWCTTGATCCATCTATTACTGATAMTCATAGGTTAATATAATTATTTTACCAGTCAACATTTCGCTTAATTATTAAGTTCATCCAAAATATGTAAATTAGTAACAATATTTATATTTTTYTATAGATCAACCTATTCCTCCTGGACTTCATGTACAAATTGATCTTCAGACCGGTGTGAAAAAAGCTAAATTAATGGAGGACAATAAAAAGAACAATACAAATAGTTTGGCCATTTCAGACTCTAATAATCTAAATAACATTGTATGYAATTTGTGTACTAATGTACTATTGTACTAAAAATAAATCATATTTTACTTGTTACAAATTAAAATGTTCCCAAATGTATTTACAGAAAGATATAAAGAATCCATCAGATAATTCACACARATTTAGATCATATGAAAAACTTAAAGAAGATCTTAAAGATTTAAACATGACTATCAAAAGTGATATGGATGTCATGGATGAACTTTCTAAAAAATTTCAGGAACAACTAAAATTGTATGATGAAAGTGATAAAAATCTTCAGAATATTTTAATTGATCTTGAATATCTCTTACATCAAGTTGACACAGCAGAAGTTTTTGTAAAAAATAAAGGGTATGTGAATTTTGTTACCTTGTTTTAATGCTTGATGAATTTTGTTAAACCTTATCAGTTATAGCTAAAACACTATGTTAACTTGTGTTATATTATGTTGATTGACTATTATTTAACTTTTTTAATTAAATTATTAGTTAACCTATTAATTCAATATAATTGTTGTTTTGCAGGATACAATTAATTATAATTCCTTGTCTTAATAGTAATTCAAGTTTTATGAAAGCACAGGGAGCACTGCTTCTTGGTTCTGCTGCTTCTAATAATCAAAAAGTTCAAATTGCCTCTCTTAAAAATAATGTTATACCACTTTTATTAAAGTATATTGATGATGAATATTCCTTTTCTGTTAGTACATATCATATCTAACTGTTTAAATAATATTTATATCGTTGAATTTGATTAATTGTAATTCTTAATATATTTTTACCCAGGTTCAAAAAAATTGTATCTTTGCTTTATCATCAATTACTAGACGATTTCCCTTAGCGCAAAAACAAATAATAGATAATAATGGTATTCAAACTTTTATGTCTATATTTAAAAGGCCTACAACCGAATTCAATACTAAACTTAAGGTAACCATTATTTTATTTTATCTTTTATTGATAATACTAATAATTTTATTTTATTTTAACATACTAGTTAAAAGTTACTCAACTTTTAGAAGACTTAACTATAGAAATTGAAGATGCTATACTAACATTTAAAGAAGAAACTAATAAGAAGTTAAGCACAGAGGCAGCCGAAAGAGTTCGTCAGTATGAAGGTTTGCACTTGAAAGATATACTTGTAAAAAATGGATGGTATGTTTAAAATTTTATTCATGTTAGATTTTATTGAATTTTCACTCTTTAATCTTTTGAAAAGGTGCAACATTTTGGGAAATGAGTTAATTGTACTCTCTCACCAAATACCACTTGAAGAAGAAAACCATGAAATGGTTGAAGCTGCTGGAAAATCTTTGTTAGCAATGCAAAAATTATGCAAAGTTAAATTACAYGGGAATAAGGAGCTATATCAATCATTTTTCACATTAGAAACTTATTATAAAAAATTACTACAAAATGATGTATTTTTTGATGAGTTATATCAGTTAACAACTGAGTTGACTAACACTTATGACCCTGTGTTAGWATAATATTATTTTGTTTAGTATAGCTTATATATTTATGAAATTGTGTGTAACCAAAAATCTAATATACTAATTATTTTTTTCTGTGATATAATGTTTATATAGTTTTTAATTATTTGAATTATACATATATAATATATATATAAAAAAGGTGTTACTTGGTTTCATGACTCATAATATATCCTTGTGTCTCAATTTACTCATTTTATGTACCTGAAAAGAACATCCTGCAACAGATTTGTTCCTAATTTTATCTAATAATGCACAAAGTATTGAAGTCTAGTTAGATCGATATAAAGTCTAATTAAAATATGTATAAAAGTATTTATATTATAAAACTATGCTTCAATGCAAGTTACTAGGAATAAATGTTGCTCAAGTGCTATGCTCTCAAAATCTCGTATGTTTTCCAACAACCATCTAGCATCTAGCTGGTATTTTGGAAAGAAAACAGTGTAAAAAAAACAAAATTAACGAAATCAGATTTATTCAAGGGTTGTGGTMAGTCAAACATCAGTCGCTGCCTTAGGTCATTCTTAAACAAGACATTTATTAACTCTTAAGGGATATCATTGTAATTGGTAAGCATTTTAATAATTCTCATTTGCTTTTGGAATCATATTATATCGTTTGTATATAATATAAACAAGAAAATTSTTGTTCTTATTCTTAGAAACCCATACTCTTAACTCACAATTATTATAACCAAATTTGAACAAAGATAATATTTTGCAAAACTCATAGTATCAGTTAGGGACATAATTTGTCTATACATAAAACAAAAAAAACATTGAAGCATTAAACATTCAAATTTAATAATAATGTAAAATTACATACTACACAGTACACATAATAAAAAAAAATATTTCATATAAGTCTCAATGATAAATAAAACACTAATWTAAGAAGTTCAGTTTACTTATTTTGCTGTCTTACTATTGCTGGGATTCAGCGATTAAATATTAAACAGTCAATGATTGATTTAAACTTAAAATATTTAATTATATCCATCTGTAAGTAAATTTCCATATTAAATGATATTTATACTTAATTTATGGCATATATAAAAACTAAATTTATAATATAAATCWGTAATCCAAATAATTTAAAATAAACGTATACACTTTGAAAATAAATTTCAAATTCATGCCATCATTCATCTCATCATTAGAGTGGCAAAGAAGTCATGTCATTTTGAATGACAAAATCGACATCCATTGAGCCATAACTGGAATCTTGTTGAGGACAAATTTCTAATCCTTCCATCGAATCTAAGGGTAGCGTGTCATACCCTGRAAAACATGTTAAATATTACATCAATATAAGGTGTTATAATCATCCAAAATAAAATATAATAATTTTAACTGTTAGTAAACTCTTATTAAGACGTTAGTGTTCATAAAAATAATTTTTGAATATTTTAGTCATATTATGTACTTAATAATTTATGATTTATACAAAAACTAAATTATTGTTTAGATGGATGAAGAAATATTAAAGCTTAAGAATTTAATAGAATATAGATTATTACTCAGTAAACTGAAGGCACAGTTGGTATTAAAAGAATGTTAGTAACTAACCTAATTATTACTTTCCTAAATAAAACTTTAATTGGCTGAAATTATATTAAACAGTAATAAAAATAATTATAGATCCTATTCAGACTCAAAAATAAATACTGAGAATGTMCAACAAAAAGAAATAACTTCTAGTATTTCTAACAGGTGCTCAGGAGTTTTAGTAAATGCTCTTTTTGATTTGTCTGAGAACATCCATGAGAAGTAAGATGTAAATTTGAAAACACATTTTCTTGATGTAATATATATTACTATATTTTGCAAAATCTTGCATATTTATGAATTTTAGTACCATATTACTTATTTTTAATTTTAACTTTAAGTTTATTCTCATATATGATGGAATCAARCATATTTTGTTAAATTTTTAATCATTTAGTTAATTATTTCTATAATTAAAATTTGAATTTTTAGAGATATTGAAGTTTAAATAAATTACATTCTATTTCCTATTTTTAGCGCATATTATTAAAGTGCTAAAAGTACAATTCAGAACCTTGCTTATCAGTTTGAAAGAAAATTATGAAAAAGTAAGGACTCAATAAAATTTTGATTCATWKTTAATATCAAAGTTTAAAATAAATTTAAGCATTGTAAATTGTTCGGAATATGTTGAGCTCAAGGTTTTACAGTTTAAATATAATATACAACTTATATATTATATATTATAATTCACATACAATAGATAAAACATAATCAAAAAGTTTGAAGTATTTCAAGAATGACAAAAGATAAATTTTTTTTTTGTCAATAAACATTGCCATAGAATAATAAAAACGACACTATCGGGTGGCTAATGTTAATGCCTATTTTTGTATGACATAACTAAATACTTTAAATTTTATTGATTTAATCATTTAAAAGTTTGCGTTTTTGAACACTAAAGTTTAATCCATCCCTAATTATTGTGTTTTAATACTCACAAAATATACAATAAAAAAAAAGTTAGTCTTTTTAGTTGGTATTTGTTAGTACTATAACTTACCAAATCCTCAAGCAATGCGACGAAATAGAAAAAAAATGAGGTTAAGCAATATTACGTTATCTAATATCTAAAATGAAAATACAWTCAAGCAGTGATTTTTTTTATATAAAGTGTACCTGAAGCACTGTGTTTGGGTGACCCTACACCACTGTAGACAGTGCTCAATCCTTGACCATACATATCATACTCGTTCGCACCTATCATATCCTGTTGGTTGAAAAACACACAAAAGCTCAAACAATGTACAAGTGTGCAAATTTTCTAATATATATAATGCCTAACTAAAAAAAATAAAAACAACTTCATACAATCATACCTGGGCACTAATAATACTGTAATAGAAATACAAATTATGGTGTGAAGCTAAACATGTATGTATTGAAAAAAGTATAATTATTGAACTATGTGCAGGAATTAAATTGTTATGTTATACAACTAACTTATGGATCAATTTGGAACACACAATCTAATTTAATTACAGGACTTACCAAAACAGAATGTTCATAGATAAATGTTATGTAGATGGATATCTCACGCTTTTATTTTTAAATCAAATATTTGCACACTACCTAATAAAAATTTAAACTTTATATTATATACCTGAAGATCTGGTGCTATACCAAGATCGCCAGAAGGCCATAAATTTTGATCTTCACTAAATAAAGAGTTGCCGAGTTCCATTGACAAACATTTTTGTAATTTATGTTCAGAAACCCTAGATAGAATAGCAGCTGCACATGTAGCTACAAAAATTCAAAAATTATTTTATCAATTTTGTATATTATTTAAAATAATAATAATATAAATACTAACCAAGAGCTTCATTTCCACAATGCAATAATTCACTAAGTGAGGCAGTTCCTCCTTCAGCTTCTATCATATCTGCACCTTCTTTATCCACAGCTAATTCGTTTAATGTGTCAGCTGCTATACGTTGTATATTTTCAAAGTTGTTAAATAATAACTGTATTAATATAGCCATAAATCCTTGCTGAGAGCGCATTATCGATCGGCTTTGTGATTCTTTAGCTAAAATATGTAAAGTTCCAATAACACATTCAATAACCTCTTCCATACGAACTCCTTCTGGTTTTACACTAGTATTTGAATGCTGTAATAGATATAGGTTATAAATATTATATTATAAATCATTTGTAATATATTAATATAAAAATAATTACATTTTGAAGATCTTGAAAAGCACGCATTGAAAGTCCTACTAAATTATGTATGGCATTATGTTCGCGAAGTAGTCCATGCGTTGCTTTGCATTGTGCTATATTTTTTATCAGACCAATTACAGCTTTAATAAGAGGCCAATGAGATGATGGTTGCAATAGCTTGGCTACCACTTGAGCACCACCTGATCGACAAACTGCATTTTGAGCGTTTTCAACTTCAGCATGTCCTGATGTTATATGTCTTAAAGCACAAACCTAAAAAAAAAAAATAATTTATAAATAATTCAAGTCATAAAACTATGTAAATGAAATGTTACAGCAGGTTTAGTTATCTCTTCATTGTCTCCAGCATTCATGATTGCACGTACAAGAGCTTCCACACCTCCAAACTGGCATACCGTTAACTTATTYCTCTGGTTATTACATGTCAAATTCGATAATATTCCAGCAGCACAAGTTACAATATTTATATTTGTGTGACCCAATGCTGCGACTAGCGATTGCAAAAGTTGTTCTAATCCATCAACCTAAAATATTTTTAACTAAATATAACTCATGACTATAAAAATAATTATTTTTATTTACATAAACATTGAAAAATTATTATATACATCYTTAATCTAATATACCTAAAATGTATTATTTATTGAATTAAAGAAAATTATTTTAATGGACACAAAATGTATCGAAAAAAAAACTTTTTAGAGATGTGTAATAGAGATCATTAAAATAAAACAATAATTAATGTATGAAAGAAAGTTGTCAGTTAAAGGACAGTAGTTTTGAATACATAAAAAGGATTARAAAATTAAATATTCATTATATTATGATATTCAAATTTTGAATTATAAATTTATATTGATATTTACAAAATTAATTAATATTGTTTAAATTACCTTTGTTCCTGCGTCTGATAAGTTTCTCAAAGTCCATAGAACATTATATACTAATTGTTGACTGTCATGTTGAAGATGCATTGCTAAAGCTTGCATTCCACCAGCTTCCACAATAGCTGGCTTGTTTCGTGAACATACAGAAAGAACTAAAAATATATAAATCGTTAATAAGATGTATACAATAATTTAGATAATTATAAAGTATAATAACTATTTTATACCTTTAAGAACACGACAAGTGAGCCATAATAATTTCTCATAATTATATGAACGCATAATGCGCACAAGTTCAACATGCCCTTGAGCAGCTAGTATTATTAATTTGCTTTCTTGATTTCCACAAGCCAAAATATGTAGACAATCAGTGATGATGGTTAAAAACTTAACAGTAATCGAATGGCTATTCGACTTGAATGTCAACAAAGATATCATTTTTTGTAAGCCACCAGCTACACGAACAGCCATTTTAGAACCATCTTGATGCAATAATAAATTATGAATAGTTATCACAGCATCTCGTAAAATAGATACAACTGGAGAACTATAAATATTAATTTAAAATAAATAAAATCATGAACATGTCATACATATTGTATATAATTAATGGCTAAGATTTAAATAAAACAATGTTAAATCACCTCATTAATTTAACCAAAGCTGGKATTCCTCCACTCTTGAAAATTGCTAATAAACCTTGACGGTGATTAGACAAATTTCGTAATGTTCCAACTGCACCAATTGTGGTTTCCAAATCGTTGCTGTTTGAAATAGATTTAACTAATGTACCAATCATCTATAAGATTTAATTTTATGTAAGTTCAATGAATTTCAAACAAATTATTTTGAAATTATTTTTTTTAAATAGATTTATACCTGTGGGCTATTTATAATAGCATGCAAAGCAGCTTCTCTATTAGACAGCTGATAAACCATGACGGCTGCTTGGGATACAACTACTTGATCTTCATCATTCAACAATTTGATTAGTTCTGGAATAGCCCAGGTGGCAAGTTCAGCATTATCTTGGTAGTTGATCAAATTGACAACAGCATATTTCAACATTTGGCTTGGTCCAGTCATATTTTGAACATTTGCAGCACTGTTGACATTGAATTGAGTGGGCATTTCTACTTCATCTTCTAAATTTTCACCACACGTTTGGCCTAAATGTTGGTTCATTCCTAAAAACATTATAACTATAAAATATCTATGCTACATGTGAACAATAATTTCATTATAATACCTTCAACTTGGTCATGTGGAAAAGATTGCGGGAACCCTTGATCAAGATCAAACAAAAGTCGGTCCCTCTCCATATCATCTTCTTTAGTAGTTATAGAATGTGTCTGGGTACTACCTCCAGATTGTATGCCCGAATCTGGTAAATACTGGCCGCTTTGCTGCCATACTAGCGATGGATCTTTGATGTCCATGGTCTCGTTGATTGGGTTCACCATGTTTCCGGACACTATTATGTGTGAACATAAATAATGTAATGTATATTGTACTTAGATAAGAATAAATGAATAATGAAAGATAAAAACAATAACTGAAAAGTAGTCATCATGAAAAATACGTACTTCCTCTAGGTTGGTAGCTCATGGTTGCCGGCAGGTATTACGACCGTATAGGTACTCACAAGCCAGTAGCCACAACACAATAAATTGATTGAGACTTACACGCTGACGCGCAAAGTTTTTTGGACGTTGCAATCGACCGAATAAGACACTGAAGAGATCGTTGTTATCGTGGTGTTCTTTTTTTTTTTTACATATAATTAATGTTTCTCTTGCGTCTGTTGTCAAATAGAAAAGCTTCGATCGTCTATAGCTTTGAATGAACAACTACCGAAATTCGGACGCACCACAAACATACGGAGATCGGAGTTGAAGCGCTACAAAATGGCGATGGGGAGGTATTCCCGATTGTCCTGTACCGAGTGTGTAGTGTATACAGACTACAGAGCAGTGAGCACTATAACTATGCACCGGGGGTGTAACTGTGTAAGAACTAAGAAGGATCCGCCGTGGGCCGTGGCAGCCTGACGGTAGTACACTTGTTTCTACCTATATACAATATATATATACGTCATGTAGGCGAGTGCATACTCCACGTCTGGACCGCGTAATACGAAGCGCAGGTCCCAGTAAACACTTTAATATGGTACACACCAGTGGATAATGGTGGGAAACACAGTCACCGACACACACAACTATAAAACTACGCAAGTCACCAAGAACAACATAATATTGTGTTACAATATTATACAAGGTAAGTTTACACATATAACATACATAATAATTATTATTATTCTACTTTCAACCACTCCCGCTTCTTACGCTCGATAATATTGCAGCGGTGGTCACACTGGCAGAATCCGTGCCGACGAGGAAAATATTCGTATCGACCCGACCACCACCTACTCACTAGTGGCGTAGTATTTTCGTAGTAAATACTACTAAATAGTAATACGCTGCCACCACCGACTCGTCTGCTGTAGACTATAGTGCCAATGTAAGCATAATATCCTGTTCGGAGTGCAGTGCTCGCATTCACTGCCCCCACCGCTCTCGCGCATTCCGTAATCCGTTCTTGTCTTTTTTTTTTCTGTTTCTTTCCTATTATTATTGTTGTGATTGTACGCCTACTCGGCCATATTTATTCTCCCACAGTCAGTGACTCAGTAGTGAATTGTGATCTGAGTGAGAGAATTGTRAAAAGTATTGATAGTGGCGAACGGTATTACGCGATCCATAGCATTAATATTATTACAGGCCTTCGTGATATTGTAATGTTAACGTGTTACTTGTTTCATTTTTTTTTCTGCTGATCGTCTTCTCTATTCCGCTGGATTGTAGCTGCCGTTTTGGATATTGTTCAAAAGTAAGTTTTCTCGATGAGACGTAGTCGTCACATTTGATATAATATTAATCTTATCCATTTTCGATTAATCTGACTATATTACTTGCTACCTGTCCCGTGCATATTGTGTCTCGTACCCTTCAAGAGGAATCTAAGTACTTAAGTCTTGTAGAATTRTTGTTATATGTCTATAATATTTTTTTACAAAATAAATCTTTGTTCATGTCTGGTTGAATCATACAGGTTTGTCAAACTGACGTACTGTACAATGTACAAATCATATAAAATACTTGGTAAACAATGCATGACTAAACACATACTATGAGTCATTCAATCTTTAGGAATACCATATTACCATTTTGGAATTATATCATCAAAAAATTATGTTATTTAGACTTAGACAAACCTTTGTAGTATATTAATCAGTAATCTATTTTATTTATTTTTGTAGCTCTAACAGAATGTATCAATCACGAGTGTGTAAGTATAGTTGCCAAACATTCATCTATTATAATTTAGTCTATTATAAGCCATAAAATCATAATTTAATTTCATATTTTAAATATTGTTAAGTGCCGAGTAACACAGGTTATTCAAAGGATACAGCCATGATGTGGCAACAAGGTGGACAGTACTTACCAGAGTCTGGTATCCACTCTGGTGGAACCACCCAAGCACATTCTATCACTGATAAAGAAGATGATTTAGAACGTGAYCAATTGATCTATGAACTAAATCAAGGATTTTCACATGGATTTACTCAAGATCAAGTTGATGGTAAATTTTATGATTATAATTAAACATATACTTATAACTAATTTAAAATGTAATTTCAGAAATGAATCAACAATTGAGTCAGTCACGTACCCAAAGAGTACGAGCTGCAATGTTTCCAGAAACACTTGAAGAAGGAATTGAAATTCCTTCTACGCAATTCAATCAAGGACAGTTGACAGCTGTCCAACGGTTAGCTGAGCCAAGTCAAATGCTTAAACATGCCGTAGTTAATTTGATTAATTATCAGGTAAATATTAAGTTAAACAACTTTTTTATCACATAAAATTGTAAACTATCAGCGATATTTTATTAAATTTATATTTTTATGTTTAAGGATGATGCTGATTTAGCAACAAGAGCTATCCCAGAACTCATAAAATTATTGAATGATGAAGACCAAGTTGTTGTATCACAAGCTGCCATGATGGTTCACCAATTATCAAAAAAAGAAGCATCACGCCATGCAATCATGAACAGTCCTCAAGTAAATTTAATTTTGAATCTTCTGTTTATTCATATTTTATTGTTTACCCTTATAATGATTGATTTATGTGTAGATGGTCGCTGCATTAGTGAAAGCATTGTCAAATAGTAATGATTTAGAAATGACTAAAGGTGCAGTTGGCACTTTACACAACTTATCACATCATCGACAAGGACTTTTAGCTATATTTAAAAGTGGAGGGATACCGGCACTGGTTAAATTACTTAGGTAATTAATTACCAATTAGTAATTAATTTGTCATTTAACTAATTCAATAATATATATGTATATATTGTTTTTAGTTCTCCTGTTGAGTCTATATTATATTATGCTATAACAACTTTACATAATTTATTGTTACACCAAGAGGGTTCAAAAATGGCAGTTCGTCTTGCTGGAGGTCTACAAAAAATGGTAGCACTYTTGCAACGAAACAATGTCAAATTTTTGACAATCATAACTGATTGCTTACAAATATTAGCATATGGTAATCAAGAAAGTAAATTAATTATACTTGCCTCACAAGGACCCATTGAACTTGTACGTATTATGCGTTCATATGACTACGAGAAGCTTTTGTGGACAACATCTAGAGTTTTAAAAGGTATTTAACTATATTATTTAATATTTATCATTTTAAAATGTAATTTATAATTATATAAATGTTGTTTTTAGTATTGTCTGTGTGTTCAAGTAACAAACCAGCAATTGTGGAAGCTGGTGGCATGCAAGCTCTTGCGATGCATTTACAACATGGAAGTCAACGCTTGGTACAAAATGCTTTATGGACCTTGCGTAACTTGTCTGACGCTGGGACAAAGGTATTTTATTATCTATTTATAATGTTGAAAATGTAATTAACATCATACTAGCTGATCCTTCACACACATTTGCTTGTAAAAAAATTAAATGCTTGGATTTCAGATTTATACCTTCTTAAATGTGAACTGAAAAAAATGTTTAACAGTGTTTTAAGTTGCTTTAATCAAATATATAAATAACATTAAAGTTATATCCAATCATTTTAACTACCATTTTTTTACTGAATCTATTGACGGACWTATTTATATGAAAATCAGGCCTAGACTGAATTTGCTTAATGTTTTGGTTTTATATCTATATTATTTACTAATTATTTCTACTGAACATGATAGTGTTACCTATGATAAATTAAATAATACTAGTAAWTGAAATCTGTCTTTTAACTCTGTCAGATCTTAAATGTAAACTATACATATTTTTAACTCAGCCATTTGGACGTTTTTGACCAAATATAAAATACATGTCTAAAATTATATCYAATTACCATAACTATTTTATTTTTTGTAAGCTATAATATGCAAACAAAAATATATTTKTTGTAAGTCAAAAGATCCCTAGTGAGTCCCTTTTTAAAATAAAAACATAACAAATTGGCTAAGAGGTGCATATTATCCTCAGGTATAGGATTACCACCTACTGGRTTACCTATGTACCAAATTTCAGAACCATAAGCGCGATATTAACTCATATTATCATGTATTAATATTTAATATAGATTACATTATATTAATATGTTTGATAAAATTTCAATTTTATTTTTAAGGTTGATGGGCTAGAACAGTTATTGCAATCATTGGTAATTGCTTTAAATCATTCAGATGTAAATGTAGTTACTTGTGCTGCTGGAATTTTATCAAATTTGACTTGTAATAATCAACGTAATAAAGTTACTGTGGTTCAAGTGGGTGGTGTCGAAGCACTAGTACAGACAATAATGAACGCTGGAGATCGTGAAGAAATAACTGAACCGGCTGTAAATGAAATTGTTKAAATAAAACTGTATTGATAGTTTGAATTAAAAAAATATGTATATTTCAGGTGTGTGCTTTGAGACATTTGACATCTAGACATGTTGAATCAGATAGTGCTCAAAATGCTATACGCCACATTGGAGGTATTCAAGTTATAGTAAAGTTGTTACAACCTCCTTCCCGTTGGCCACTTGTCAAAGCTGCTATTGGATTAATTCGAAATGTAGCTCAGTGTCAAGGTAATCATGTGCCATTAAGAGAACATGGTGCAATTCACCATTTAATACGTTTATTGATGAGAGCGTTTCAAGATATTCAAAGAGTATGTAATACATTACTGTATGCATATTAATATATTATCAATTTTAAATTTGATACATAATATTATAATAATATATACTATTTTCAATTTGACTGTACAGACATCTACAACTAGTAGTGTAGMAGGATCAGGCAGATCACAATCAGGTGGTGTTTATGCTGATGGAGTGCGCATGGAAGAAATTGTTGAAGGCACTACCGGTGCATTACATATTCTTGCCAGAGAATCGCACAATCGAGTGCTTATGCGCTCCCAACAAGGACTGATAGCAGTATTAGTTCAATTGTTATTTAATGATATTGAAAACGTTCAACGAGTGGCTGCTGGTGCTCTGTGTGAGTTAGCTATTGATAAAGATGGGGCAGATATGATTGAAGCAGAAGGTGCAACAGCACCACTAACTGAACTATTACATTCCCGAAATGAAGGAGTTGGTAAGTATAAATTAGTTTTATGTATGAAATGATTATTTTATGTTTTTTTTTTTTTTATCATTTTGTTTAAAGCAACATATGCAGCAGCTGTTTTATTCCGAATGTCTGAAGATAAACCTAATGATTATAAAAAACGGTTATCAGCAGAGCTGAGTAATTCACTATGCCGTGAAGATCAGAATACATGGCCACCTAATGATCTTGGAATGGGGCCTGATCTTCAGGTAATTAAAACTATTGACACTTCTTCTTTTTTTCAAGTCTGATTTAATATAAAATGTTTCTATTAGCCAGAGGCATACATCGCTTGTTGAGGTATGTTTTGGAWAAAACATTAAAATGTCGTTGCTTTTATCTCAAAAATGTATATATTATATAATTTTCTAAGTTAATGCATGGTGTTTTGTACACCTAGGCAGTGTTGGCATGGAATATTATTTATTTTATTATTGTTTTGTACAGTAGTTAGACTTTTTGTTATTTTGTAAACAGGATGCATATGATTTGTATAGTCATGGACTTGGTAGCGTTCATAATGGAATGGGCCCAATGAGACGTAACA